AAATTCGGTAAGTTGCAAATACGGTACGCTGCAAATACGGTAGACAGCATATACGGTAAACTGTATATACGGTAAGCTGCATATATTGATTTATAATTTGTTATAAATGTATAAAATTTATTTAATATTGAATTTCTTAAGTATTAAATGTTGTAATTTAATATTGTTTCATTTTTATAATTGTATTTCCGATAATTAAAAAAAAAGTGGTTATGAAATTACTAATTTTTAAATGTGTTTTTTTGTTGAAGATAAAAATAATTTTTTTATATTATTTCTAAAAAAAAATTTATTGCAATTTTATTAATGTAATAAGAAGATTTATTATGCATTTTTATTTTTTTACATTTTGTAAAGAATTTTGTTTATGGTATTGACAAATATTCTTCCACACACGTATCATGCCAACAACATTAAAAAAATAATTTTAGTATATATAAACTCGGAACTCCATGAGACAAAAAAAAATAAATCTCCGCACTTGAGCAAAGTCTTTTCGCACAGTGTGAAGAGACAAACAAAAACTCTCGAAAATTTATCTGCAAGTTTCAAGATGTCTTTTTTCAAATAACTTTTGAGTAATACATTGAACACTTTAATTTCTGGCATACAACCCAAAAGTATAATTTCATTGAAAATTGTATCCTCTTCTAATGTCCATGAGCCGTTATCAAGCAAGTGTAAAATATTGAATTTGGGTGGTACCCTAGAGTCTCCATTTGTAAAAGCAATGACATTGTACTATAAATATCCCCTTTTTTGCACAACTCACATATTATTTCATTGTATGAATCACAAGAAAGCTCATTTTCAATACCATAAATATGATTTGCATGCTCAGAAATTGAGTTATGATTGGAATTTAAAGGAGACATAATTGATTTTGAGTCATGTTTTTTGACTCTATTTCGTTGTATATATGAAAAATTTACAATCTTGAAATTTGACTTGTAATTAAGAAATTTGAAAATAACTCTACGTACTGTGCGGAGAGCTGGTTTGTTATCTCTTCGCATTGTGCGAAGAGTTTTTTTTTTTACTTCGCACTGTGTGAAAAATTTGCCAACTCTCCACACATGGTTTAACTCTCTCTGCATTGTGCGGAGAGGTTTTTTTCTCTCTGCAATTTTTTTTATTCCGCACATGATCTAACTCTCTATGTACTGTGCGGAGAGTTTTGCCATGATGTGGATCAACTCTCCGCACTGTACGAAGAGATTAACTCTCTCCGCATAGTGTGGAGATTTTTTTTTTGCTTTCCGTACTGTGCGGAGATGATTTTTTTTACTCCGCACTGTGCGAAGAGTTCACCAACTCTCCGCACACGGTTCAACTTTCTCCGCACTGTGCGGAGAGGTTTTTTTTGTTTTTTGTTTTTTTTTTGTTTTTGTTTTTTTTTTACTCCGCACTGTGCGAAGAGTTCGCCAACTTTCTCTGCACTGTGCGAAGATTTTTTTCTCTCCATACATTTTTTTTATTTTTACTCCGCCCTTGGTTCAACTCCCTTCGCATTCTGAGGAGAGTTTTTTTTTTTTTTTTTCAATTTTACAATATTGAATTACACAAAATTTGAAAATATAATCTTCACATTCAATTCAATCATATAAACACTATCAAAGAATACAAGCAAAATAGTTTGTATATTTCATAATTTCTTATTCAAGTATGAAATGTACAAGCATATTTTTTCTAGATAACATATTGCTATGCAATTGTAAAAATAATTTATAATTATTTTCTTATATCATAGAAATATTTTTAAATATTACTTCACAAACTTTTCAAAAAAAATTAAAATTCATACACTAATAAAAATATGATAAATACAAAATTCGTACAACGCACGTGATAGCGATTAGTAGATATAGTTAACAGAAATTGAATTAGCAAAAGTAAGGGGTTAGGTATACAAGAACCATTATCGTGGCATGTTGGCAGGAACATTATTGTGGCAGAACCATTATTTCACATGCACATGATTTCTAGCAGCTAATGAAGTGATTTGATGTGTGATTTCGACATATGTATACATAAAATTCACGTATTATAAAATTAATTTTAGTACACGTAATAAATATTTATACTTATAAAAATTAGAGAGAAGTCAATGGATTTTTGTGTATTTTATTAAGAACCAAAATCTTATATTTATAAGAAAGAATTAATAATGCAACATTAATAATTTTTAGAGCTGTAGGGGTACAATTTTTATTCACTAATAAACTTACCATTTACAACGTTGTCGTGTTGTTTTTTTCTCTTTTTATCAAAAATAAAAACATAGTATTAGCTCGAAAGGAAAATAAATAATTACATCTTTGGTTTTTTTTTTTTTTTTTTTTAATAAATACATCTAAAAAATCCTAACAAGTTTTCAAAACTTACAATATTCCAATATCTGGTTCACACACATGATCCCATCCTATTGAAAGTGGGGGAAATTGTTCAATTCTTGAATTTTCGACTTTAAAGCCACCGTTTGTTAAACTTATAAATTATTCATACAAAGGAATAATAGTTTAATATATGGATAATAATTGAGTAATGGTTAAAATTGTGATTGAAAATAATGTTTGATTTTGAATAAATTTATAAATTAAATTCCAAACGGAAGCAAAAATTTTAGGTTGTCTTATTGCCATCTGTGTTCTCAATTCAAGCTCGCTAGATTAAACAGCAATAATTGAAACTACAAAAAATTAAAAGTTCATCTATTGCCTTATTCAGAGAGAAATTGTCTATTAGCTAAGTCATGTATACTTCTAAGGTAAGAAATGCATACCACATCATATTCATGAACGTATGATCCCAACAACTCCACGCGTTGCACAAGGCATAATGTATAATTAGTACACTAAATTCGAAGGAATGAAAATACATGGTCATAGCTTTATTTGTCTCGATGTAGGACCTCAAGAATAAGATGGCACGCCAATTAACTATTAGGAGCTAAATATAGGGATGTTAAATGAGTTCACACGAGCCAACTCGCACTCGCATATGGGACAAACTAAGCGTGATCTTGCTCGTTAATCAACTTGGCTTACCCCTACCATCTCACCTCTTGGTAGGATGAGCTTGAACGACTCACAAGTAACTTGTAGTTTGTGTATTTTTTTAAACCTAAAATTATATTTGTACTCCCCGACTCACGAGCCCAAAAAGAGGTTTTCGCTTCTTAATTACACTCGTTTAACTAACCTCTCGTCCTTTCATAGCCACATAAAAAAAGGTCATATTTCGACCGCGTTAATTATTCATCCAAAGTTTGGCCTTCCATTTAGGGCACATGCTAATAGACTCACAAGCTCATTTTATTTGAGCTCGAAATTACAAGTTGATAAAAATATATTTTCATTCTTATAATAATTACAAAGTAAGAGATTCGACTCATTCCTAGACTTTTTATAAATTTTATTTACCCAAAAAATACGACTCAAACAAATATAAACATGCATAATAATTCAAACACACTTCTACAAATTTGGAAAAAATAAAAAGAAGCTAGAAATTGAAACCTTATAGGGAAGTTAATTACCAAATAAAAATTAAATTTAGAACTTTGTAGAATTTGTTAAGTGGTATTATTTAATAGTTCTATAATGACTAGAAAGGTCTAGAAATATAGGAACAAGCCAAACGACTTGCGTTGTTGACATTTCGGGCGACGCACTCTCGCATGATCGATGTGAGTCTCTTATGAATAAAATAATACCGACCCCGTGTGTGTGTATTATGTCAACCATGCCGTCATCCGCGCGGGTTATGTAGCTCAATCCATAAATATATACATAATGAGTGATGTTACAATGCTCGCGAGGTTGACCTCGGGATTGACACAACACACACACATGGGGGTAGGTATTTTTTTATTCACCTGGGACCCATACACTCCATGTGAGACTGCGGTCATCCTCGTGGTCATCGACGCGAGCCGTTCGGCTTCTTCCTTACATAATACACCTCCCAAATGTACTAGCTGGGCCCAAGCACTTGCCTACGTACTTCCACAATTGATCTGTGATCGTTGAATAATGTTATGCAAGGGTCAGAAAATATTGTTAATATTCTTACGCAATACTGCAGTAGCACGTCTTTCACATCTTCAATTCCCATGTTTTTTGACAAAAAATTTGATAAGATTTTTAACGGATTTTGATAAAAGTTAATAAAATATATGATTCAAAAATTAATAAAAATTATGTATATTATGAAATGTGTATTTAAAATTAACTGTTTATTTTAACTTTGTCATTATTCCAACCAAGCACTATATACATACATGCATGTATGTATGTGTCTCTCTTTGGAGAAATTTACTGATAATTTTTATTTTATATCTTCCTTCATCAAACAATTGGGTAAATTCCTTTGGACAACTCTCCGATTGTTTAGGGGGTTATGTGGCGCCCCCAAATGTCGCGAATGACCATTTGGGGGCGCCACATAACCACTGTTCCAAGAAGAATGGTCCCAAGCATTTATTCGTTTTGACCCACTTAGTAGGGTAATGGAACACTTATTAAGTCCTGTGAGTAAGTCCCGTTTGGTATTTATTAAATTACGTTTCATTTTTCTCTATTTTATTTTTAACCACACAATTTTTCATAAAATAATATTATACGTAGATAAAAAAAATTTCTTTCTTTCTCAACAACTCATTTTTCAAAAAAAATATTTTTTCACCCATTTTCATTTCCGAAAAAATGGGACAAATAGGGGCTAAACTTCAAGAACTTTTGTGCATTTATCAATAATTCAAACTGTACGGTGCTAGACAAGATTAAAAAACAAAATGAAGTTAAAGAGTCTGTTTGGGAGTGATTTTTAGAATTGATTTTTTGATCGTTAGGAGAAAAGTGGGGTCCACCTGTGAGAGAAGAAGTCAAATATGACGACTAAAATAGTGAAATAACGATCAAAAAATCAATTTTTTGGGTAAAAAAATCTAGCCCAAACAAGCTCAAAATCTTTATTTACTTGACAACGCTCTAGATAAGTTAAAATCTTACCAGTTTCCAGTCGCGTCCATGATTTTAGTTTCTTGAATATGAGCTAAACCTTGGTCTCTCTCTTCTTCATCCTCCTCATCTGTCTGAGTTAGTTTCCATAGAAAGAGATGGGGTTCTGGTCACTACTGGAGGTGGCATCTATGCCAAATTTGCAGATGCTTTTGATTTCTGCATTAGGAGCTTTGATGGCTACTAATTATCTCAATCTTCTTTCTCCTGACGCCAGAAGATCTATGAATAAAGTAAGTAACTGAATTTGAACGCAATATGTGAGTGAATTTCATACATACTAGCATTGTCAAATCTAAATTTTGGCACTGCAGATTGTGTTCGTGGTCTTCTCTCCATCACTCGTGTTTACAAGTCTGGCAAAGTCTGTCACCCTTCAAGATCTCATCTCATGGTATAACTATGTTATGAGAAATTCTAGGATGAGTCGAATCTCGTACTTTGTAATGTCATATGTGTCTCGTCTCTCTCACGGTTTAGTAAAAACTTTTAGAGGAGTAGTACATCAGATACAAGGTCTTTATCTGCTTTTATTTCTAACATTTCTTCTTCAACTTGCTCCAGGTGGTTTATGCCCGTTAATATTGGCTTAACCTTTCTATTTGGAGGAATTCTTGGATGGATTGCAGTCAAAATATTGAGGCCAGAGCCACATCTAGAGGGCCTTATCATTGCCACATGTTCAGCAGGTAACAGTCAAGTGCATATTTGATATGCAGATACGACTCTGACACTATAAAGCAGTATGTTCAAGTCAATTATATTTCAGAATTCTAGTATTTATTAGCTGCTGACTTATAATCCTTAAAAATAGGAAACTTGGGAAATCTTTTGTTGATACTTGTTCCTGCAATCTGCAAGGAAGATAGAAATCCATTTGGTGATCCCAACGTCTGTGCTTCTGTTGGATTCTCATATGTATCGTTATCGATGTCTGTAAGAGATCTTACTTTTTTCTCTCCTTTCATGAAAATCGTCTGAAAATTTCGAACAACTTAATGTTACAATGTCTTTCTATGCCCCGTAAAATACCAGACTCGACCCTGGAGATGGACTCGAGTTGTAAGATCTCGCTCGATTTCCTGATCTTTCTTCTCGTTTAAGGAACATTAGATGAAATTAACAGAATAATCAACGGCATAAATGTTATATTACAATCTCTTTAAGCAAAAATATTTATGTTTTGAGGAATATTCTTTAAAAAATGTCTTTTAATAGCCCTCTGAAAGGTGAAAACCATGGTTTTTTACTGAATTAAGAAAAGTACTCTGGTAATCTTGATGTGAATGGTAGGATCGAAGAACGACAATGAATTAGTGCATGTTTGGTAGGAGGGGTTGGATACCATTTGGAGAAGTTAAATTATTGTACGAAAGTATTCTTGCGAGAAATAATTATCTAAACTTCGGAGAAAGTAACGGGACAACTGATAGCAATCCGTCTATGTCAAATGGCTTAAATTCGCAGCTCGGTGGTATCTTCATATGGACTCATACTTACCATTTGATACGAAGTTCTGCTACGAAGTATAAGGCGATGAATGCTGCTGAGGAGTCGTCCAAGAAACCCAACATGGATTTAGATGCAAATGAGTCGTCGAATCTTCTTGACAGAGGAGAAGAGGATGTTGCTATAACCATGTCAACAACAAAATCTCCAAGAGATGACACAAATGATCGAACTGTTAGTCTCTGTGTCCAACTACTTTATATTGTGCAATATTCTAAGTTGTAGAAAATATTAGTGTTGACTACCATAACATCTGGAGTCCTAATATTAGTATCTACAGATTGAGTCCGAGTCGATTGGATCAGATGGGAAGCTCGTTACACAGAGTGCATCAGCGAGGAGCACGTTATCGGGAATTTTGCATCAGATATTGGAGGAGATACTGGCACCTCCTACCCTTGGTGCAGTGAGTTCTTCATACTTGTGGCATGTTATCCATACAGGACAATATTGAGAAGAAAATAGTAATAACTTTTGACTATTTCTCAATCTAATTTCAGATTATTGGATTAATCTTTGGGGCTATTACATGGCTCAAAAACCTTATTATTGGTGAAAGTGCTCCACTTAGATTTATCCAGGATTCTTTAAAATTACTCGGGTAAGTTTAGTTGCTTCAATCTTCCAGTAGATATCGCAAAGAACTAAAACATGGTAGCTAGAAATGATCTATGTAGTCGACCTCAAATTTATCTAGAATAAATCTTAGTTTGTTGTTGTCGTTGAAACAATTTCACAGAACAAGCATACATGCCTTAGCTAATGCTGCAAACTACTTTTTTTCTGTAGGGATGGAACCATCCCTTGCATGACCCTTATACTTGGAGGCAACCTAACACAAGGTAGACCTCATTTCTAAATATTCCAAACCTATAACAATAGAATTAAGCTCATGAAATATACGAGGATTTTTACAGATGATGAGGTAACAATATTGAATTGACAGGTTTGAAGTTGTTTTCTGTTTAATATCCAATGAAATTGTGCCAACTGACAATTTGTCAAACTGTTTGGCAAAAATTCCTGTACATGTAGCATGATTGATAACATCATCCTGGAGAAGCCACTTATCTAATCATGTTTGGAAATAAAATTTATTTACAAGTAACTTTAACTTTTAAGCTTAACGGGGTTATGAACTGAACAGGTTTACGCAAGGCGAGTTTGAGGCCGCTTGTTATCCTAGCAGTCATCTGCGTACGCTATGTGATACTTCCTGCAGTTGGGATTGGTATCATTAAAGCAGCTGCTCAATTTGGCTTCCTTGCAGCAGATCCACTCTACCATTTTGTGCTGATGATTCAATACACTCTCCCTCCTGCAATGGCCATCGGTATGAAGTTTTTAGAGCATAATGTTGTCATTAGTATAGAAGTTCTTCTATGGCACTAAAAGTAGAGTTGAATTACTATAAAAGCTAAGAGTAGGTAAAGCGTTTAATATATGACAGTTTGAAATTAGGGTCGATCATGCTGCAGTTATAGATATGTTGACAGAAAGGTTGACGTACACGTGACATTCTATCATCGAACAGTTTAGAACACAGTTAAATTCTCGATCCAATCATTTGCTGCCACTTACACTTCCGTCACTGCATATGTCTGGCAAAGTGGCATAATCCAATTATGGTTAGGCATGAAAGCGTGTGCCATTTTTGTGTAAGCCATACTTTCGATGGAAGCTCACGGGATGGGATCATGCAGGTACTATGACACAACTCTTTGATGTGGCTCAAGAGGAGTGTTCAGTACTGTTTCTATGGACTTACGTGGTTGCAGCCATTTCACTAACAGTATGGTCTACTGTCTTCATGTGGATCTTGTCCTGAAGGAAGGAATGGACCATGTTTGGGTACATATATTCGAGAATTGGGATTTTGTTTGTGAAAAAGAAGATACATTTATTCGAGAATTGGAATTTTGTTTGTCAAAAAGAAAAGAATAATAGAGACTTGTCCTGAAGGAACTAATGGGCCCTGTTTGGATGCATATATTCGACAATTGGGATTTTGTTTGTGAAAAAGAGAGAAAGAACTGGGATTTCGAAACAGAGATGCTATCTATATAATATTGATATAGATATAGAAAGGCAAATGACATGTGATGCAAGGAAAAAAAAAGAAAAAAAAGGAAGCCTTCCGTTGGATTCAGACTTTAGTATTGTTTTCCCTTTTCTAATACATGTTTCTGAAGTAAATAGTTGTACCATTATTTCCTATAATTAAAGGGAAATCTACTCACAAGCATTATTAACTAATTGATAAATGATTCTTTTGTGGGAATTCGCGGTAAGGTTTCACATAAAAAAAATAATTGTTCTCTCCTAGAACCCATTTTTTTATTTTTTCCCCCAAAACTCTCCTACTGAGCCCCCGTTTGATTTCCGTTAGTTGTTCAAAACAATATTTTGAATAGTGAATTTTTAAAGAGTGTGCGGATAAAAAGTAAAGAAAAATTTTGAATTTAAATACATAATATTTTGTTGAGTAAATGTATAATTGAAAATAAGTATGTAGAATAAAGAGTTTTGAAATAATGATTGTCAAACAAGGGTTAACGAATAAGAAGTGACATTAATTTTCTTTTCCAACACGGAATAAAAATGACAGTATACAATACGTGTAGAAAGATATATAATACTTTGCTCTATTTAGAAAAACAATAGGATTTAGAAAAATATACCAATGTGGTACAAGGCATTAACGGACCATGCACAGCCTATGGAGTAATCCACGACCACTCTTCCAACATTATCACATTTATATTCCCAACTTTTTCATAATATTTTACCTTTGACATTTTATAAACCAGCAAATTTTGTCCTAATCATGAATTGGTCCAAATGTGTTTTAAAAAAAGGGACAAATATTTAGACATATGTCGAATTTATGCATAGACACAAGCCTTCTTAATATTCGATCAAAGTTAAACAAAACCGTAGACAAGCATATGAGATGCCTTTCTTCGATAATTTTCATGCCTAACATACCAAACAAGGAACGATCAACCAAAATAAACACCACAAAGCAAATGTAGATATCAAAACTGCAAAACTCACATTCTCAACGTTCATATCATCCTCATATATCTTACATCAAAACAATAATAACAATTTTGACTATCAAATAACAACTCATAAAAGGCACTTTCATAATGCCCCCACATTTTACAATCTAGCTGGTAAAGAAAAAAAAAATGAATATGGGCAAATATTAAGACATCATTATAGAAAAGAAAAAGAAGGATGAATTTCAAGGGTAAAAGGGCAAAATCCGTGACAGAGATTGGAACACGCTGGGTTGTCTAATGAAACAACCAATTGCCTTAACTATACCAAGAATCCTCACAAGAAGCTTCGACTGAGACAGAAGCCAGTGAAAAACTAGTCCTAGAACGCTTTCCAACTGTCCGAATCTCTACTTGGAGTCTGAGCCTCGAGTGAAGACTTAAATGGATCATTTGATCCAAATGGATCTGCGTCATCGAAGGATGGGAAACCAAGGCCATACTCGGAGTCTCCGGTACTCCGTATGGAATCAAATCTGGTAAATGAATCACGTGGAGGGAACAGTCCATACTCAGAGTCTGCCGTGCTGCGGAATGAGTCGAATCTCGTAAGTGACTCTTGTGGAGCAAAGTACCCCTGATCAAAGTTGGAATCTCTTGTGCTTCGCATGGAATCAAATCTCGAAAAGGTTTCCCGTGATGCAAAAGGGCCACTGTCATGCGTGTTGAAGGAATCAAATCTGGAGAAGCTGTCAAATGAATGAAGATCTTCTAAACCTTCACTGAAACTTCTCGGAGAGTTGCTAGAGTTCACCATTGGGGTGCTTGGGACAGAATCTGCAAAAGCAAATGTGCTATTCCTCTGGAAAATGTTATCCATGTGCGGAGAGCTGGCAAAATTTGAAATTGGGGTGCTCGGAACAGAATCAAAAATAGGACCCTGCTTTGGGAACATGTTATCCATGTGAGGAGAGCTGGCAAAATTTGCAATGGGGGTGCTTGGAACAGAATCAAACACAGGGCCCTGTTTTGGGAACATTGCATCCGTGTCTGTTGACCCGGTTTTAATTGGTGGTAGATCCCAGTTATCTGAACCGAATAAAGAACTCTCACTATGCCTCTTACCATCTGAGTCCTGCATTAGATTGGTGAACAAATATGACAAGAACAAACTCCCATGTGTCTAAGAAGGAAAAGGAAAACTTTAAATTTGTGCATCAGCTCAACACAGTTTATTTTATTATATTTTGCATAGGGAAGAGGGTAGGTGAGAGTGAGAGAGAGTAAAGATAAGGGTGCATATATACCTTCTGAAAAACAAAAAATTAAATGAAAATAATTGATTGAATTTGGGTTAACACCGGAAGTATACCTAGAATGCAATCTCTATTGAATGTAAATGTTAGTAAAATATTTGGCATGAACATCAAAGTGTTCTCATATACCTTGGTAGAGAGAGGATTCAAATCCCATGTCCCATCCATATCATAATGTGTATTGTAGGAACCCCATCCTGGTTTATCATAACCTCTGTCCCCAGAAACTACAGATTCAGCACCAGCATATTCACTGCATTAGAAAATCCATTACATTAGAAATTTTTTGACAAAAAGCAGTGTATATAGCTATACGTAAATTGTACGACAGTTGGAACTAGTACTACTAATCAGAGGCTCACACAGAATACCGATCACAAGACTCACAACAGACACACACACAAAAAATAAAAAATAAAAAAAAATGAAAAAAGGGAGAAGAAAATCACACTACCTCTGGTTCTCGAATGCATGGGGTGAACCATTTACGTTAATGTCCTTTCTAGTCTGAGGATCTCGGAATTCCTTTGATGGGCTCTTGACTACATTACTTCCCACAGGACTATCTGGTGGACTTCTTGCTGTTTTATCTAAGTTGTGGGTATTTGTCCCCTCTGCCTCAGGTGTCCTCACCCCAGCACTAAACACTTCTGATTTCTCATCAGCATTAGAGGGTGATTTTACCGCACCACTGTCATTTAAGGCAGTAACTGTTTTCTCTCTAAACAATGAAGACTTGGGTTTAGGAGGGGCAATGACATTTTGAACCTCAAGAGTAAGATCTTTGACAAATGTGAATCCTGAAATTGCGGAAAGTGCAACGAGAGAAATCAGCGGGATCACACTTGAAAAGACAATTGATACACGGTACACTTCCTTCAAATATCCACTTTTTGATGGACATGTAAATAGACTACTATTTACATTTATTTAACATGGAAATAAACAAAATTGCTGATAATTTTGTAGGACATCATAAGTTTCCAGTATAAAGTATAATTTAGGTACACAGCTATTAAATTTCAAAGAGCACCTTCATCTTCAAACTTGTCCCAAACTTCATCCCAATCAGCTGCTCCTTGTCGTATACCAGATTGCCAACCTGGACATAAATTGTAACAACATAAAGGCTCACATGAATATGAACAAAATATTCCACAGGAAGCATGACAAATTGATTTTGATCTATCTTTGGAATTACCAAGTCGTTAATGAAATCAATTCGATATTTTCTAAAATGAACTAAATGTATCCACAAAGATTTCTAATACTAATTCCGTCAACTTTTGCTTGGGCTGCCAGATTTCTTATGCAGGAGCTCACTGTGGCACATCCACATATAGGTTCTATGCTTCCTATTTCAATAATTAAATACATGCCAGCAGGGCGCCATGTATACTAAAAGTAGTGAATGAGAAAACCTAAATAGTCCAGTATTTCAATTTCATCACGACTCCCTTATTGAAAATAACGCTTAACATGAGAAATATGCATGTAATTACAACTAAGGATCTGATCTACGGCACCATTGAGTGGTCAATGGAGAAGATAAAAAACAGTGTTGATTATTTTCACATACACGACCACATAAATTGTTTCACACCGATTTCAAAGCTAAAACAATACAGCTTCCTCAATTTATGAAATTTGTTAAGGTTAGGCATGAATGGAACAGTCCAAGTAAATGAATAATAACTGAAATGGAGTCACAACAAAGAACGAGTAGCACATAGAAGGAACTGAAAGGGAAACCAAAAATTGTTTCACGGGTTTAGATTTCATATGCAGATTTCTGTAAGTAACATAAAAGTAGGAAATATACCAATGCAATAGAAAAGCTAGCTGAAATAAGTATAGATATTTGTGGTGACCAACAGTAGAATCCCCAATGATCGACTAGATGATTAGTTCATATGAAAGAAGAATGAAAAAAATGAGAATGCTCAAGTATAGCTATGTTGATTTCAGTACCAAATGGAAGCTCGACCAATGACGTTGGTTTTCCACGCAATCCATAAGTTTTGCAACGTTCATTTAACGCTTTTACCAGCTGCTCAAGATCTAACTGGATCTGATTAGCACGATCCTGGAGAAACCAAAATTTGTTTTTAAAAAATATTCCACAGATCTTCATGAAATCATAAGCTGGTAGAGCATACCTGAATACCATCAGCATTGCCTTGTTCCAACTTGACAATTGCCAGATATAGTTCCATTTTTTTCTCCTACATAAAATATGGCCAACCTTATAATCTGACAAATCTGCTGAAACTGTGAAAGCACAAAGTCTATATATAGATAGCAGAACGACAAAACGGACAAGCCATAGCAAACAGATATTCTGGTCGAGTCTAGCAGCAGAAAGTAATCATCATACCTGAATATCACGAAACGTGGCCTCTTCAATGGTTAATTTAGATGCTACGTCTCCAACCTGCTTGTACTTGTCTTCATATTTATTTGCCAATGAGTCAGCCTGATATATAACTTGGTCAAGTGAGTCACACAAATATCGGGCATCTCTGAATATAAATGCAGTCATTATCTTCAACGATATACCTCTCTTTTGTCACTGGAAACTCTTTCAGTAATCTCGTTTAATCGATTATCACATCTGCTTTTATATAGAATCTGGCAACAAATGGCAAGTATTAGCACAAGAAGGTTTATGATCCATTGTGAAACTATTATTTTTTATTTTTTTAATGACTCTGAGTGTTCGAGCCAGCTTACGCGCACCTTGACTAATCTCACGGAGCCCTAAAGTTTACAGGTACTCACCTCAGTACCCTGAGGGGACTCGAACTGGCGACCATTGGAGAGCAAATCCAAGGCTTGACCACCGAGTTACCCTCAAGGTTGCATTATGAAACGATTATATTTCAATATAGTATAACAAATAGCGCGTGCTAGCTTTTATGTCCAAAACAAAGAT